AACTTTTGTTCAGTTCTAGTTCAGAAAGCTGGACGTCAAACTTGAAGCCTGAGGCAGCTGCTTTTGAAACTGAGGACGCATTGCGACCTAGTTGTGTATTTTGATACTATCATATATATACATGTATTTTTTTAACCCGAGAACTAACCTGGTTCTCTAGAATCGAGAGTGAAGTAGCCATGTTGTTCATCTGTTTGGAATGCTGCGTTTGTGTGTTGATTCATCAGCGCAGGATCCTGCGGGACAAAGGGATAACTTACGTCAGTTTGCAAATTGAAAATAAAAATAATAATACAAGTGTAAGAACATTTATGCCATGCAAAGACTCGTGTGTATACCGAGAAAATACAAGTGACTCGCGGAATATTCCATGGCATACCACGAGAGAGGGTTGCATAACTAATATTTCTATGTATTGAAAATGTTTATTGTTACCTGCGTTTCCTGGTCTCTGGTCATGGTAATTGTCTGTGATTTCCTCCTGGTGATTAGACATAAAGAACTTTAGTAACCATGCACCTCAGCTTCGACTTCTTGGGTCATAAGTTTCGCTAAAGGCTAAATTACTAAGTGAACTTGTTGTCTGTGGGTGCACGTGATTTAAGTAGCAAGGCATGCGACCATAATTGAAAGTCAGTCAATTATGAACAAAAGGAAATCAAGCGCAGAGGCTAGTAAGCGAGAAAAGTGAAAGAGGCACAGTGGCTATATATGACATAATAAGGTTGACTGTTACTTTTACAAATGAGGGCGAGAAGTTAAATTGTTTTACGAGGATCTTTTGATGTCAAAAATTGAAGAGCTTTAATTTTAGGTTTTTCAAAATCTGAAAAATAAAGATATTAAGCCTTTTAACGGAATTTGAAGAGGGGCCTTAAAAGGGAAACGTTGGAACTGGGATTTTCCCATTTTATTTCTGTCAATGTAAAAGTGGGATTTAGGTTATTGGGACAGGGGATTTCAACTTGACAAAAAAATGGAAATGAGACTGGGATTTGGATTTGGGTAACAATGGGATTTGGGCGAAATGTGGGTAAACGGACTTATACCAGTACCCCCTCCCCGCCTCGTCAGGACCCTCTTTGAGGGACATCGTATGCTCGATCACGGCCTATCACTGAATAGTCTACGAGGACAGAGCCAATTAGACACTTAGATGCGTAGTAAGCCCAGTTCAAACTCGTAGTATGAATGTCTATTTACAGTTACCTTGAATGACTGCGTCGAGCAATAAGGAAACCAACAATAATCACAATGAATAACGAGGAGACTATGAGGCCTGATACCAGCCAGACAGAGATAGAACTGACGTCACGACTGCTTTGCTCACTGCCATCAGATTTGGGGCCGGAACTGGGGCGGGAACTGGGAACCTGAAAACAGAGCAAGGAAAGTTCAAAGTTGCGCATGACTCGTGATGACTGTCACGCATGACACGTGACGTCTGTCGCACTACCCCTCGCAAGTGTTAAAAGCAGGGTAATTTTATGTCACAAATGAAAAGGATATTTGTATCTTCCACTTCGGAGGACGACTGTTTTGAAGTTAATAAAGTTTTCAAAAATTGCCCTGAAAAAGCATAAAACGGAAACATGGAGATAGATTTCAATTATAATGTCGATTCCCCCCACCTCCCGCCCTTCCAACACGCAACAGCTTTAGCACGCCATCAAGATTAGCAATTTAATTACAAAGTCTTAAACAGGTTCTTTTAGCGATAGGATGTACTTGTACCTTCTTAAAATCAGCGATTTAAAATTGTAGAAAAGTACAGAGAACTCGCACTAAAAACCTCTAAAGGGATCAAGGCTGTACGAGATTGCTTTCAGTGGCAATTGCTTTTCACGGTGTCATGGCTGATGTAAATCGAGTTAAATCTAGGATCGCCATGAATTAGTGTAGACATTCTTCATAGTAGACATCCTTACATGAGATGAGGCATTCGGTTGCGCTACCGAGGTGATCGCTGGCGAAGTAATGAAGCTTGATGACGGAGTAAGAGCGATTGATGCGCTTGGGTGAATGGGTTTGGAGCCAGTTGTTACGTGCCCAGTGACAGATGTTGGTTTCGTTGAATCTGTCTCGGTGTAAATGTCCGGTTGTGGGGTAGACCTCCCTGGTGAACCTGTATTTGAAATGGGACCTAAATGAGGATAGACGATTTATATACAACTTTATGCACTTATAATTTAACATATAAACAGACACTTTCATTAACAGGTTAAAGAAATCGCTTGTAATGAATGTGATAGTTCCTTAAAAAACGTTTAAAACAGATCTAAAAAAGTAAAATTGTCTCTAAATTTTCGACCGCCTTCTGCGGTCTNGCCCAGTGACAGATGTTGGTTTCGTTGAATCTGTCTCGGTGTAAATGTCCGGTTGTGGGGTAGACCTCCCTGGTGAACCTGTATTTGAAATGGGACCTAAATGAGGATAGACGATTTATAAACTTTATGCACTGATAATTTAACATATAAACAGACACTTTCATTAACAGGTTAAAGAAATCGCTTGTGATGAATGTGATAGTTCCTTAAAAAACGTTTAAAACAGATCTAAAAAAGTAAAATTGTCTCTAAATTTTCAACCGCCTTCTGCGGTCTTCTTCAGAGAATGATGATTTCGCGCGATTCACAGGATTTTAATAAGCTGGGACGTTATTGTTCGTTGCCCCCTAGGGAGGCAACCAGTGACGCGTAAACCCTTGGNATTTCCAATTTCTTCTGCTTTCTCCGACATACGTGAAAGAACATGTCCTACAGGTCACTTTGTACACAATGCCTTAAATTGCTCTTTTGTCGGCCGGTCTTTCGGCTTTTTGAAGACATTTCCCAAGATCTGATTAGATCTGTTTTAAACGTTTTTTAAAGAACTATGAGCAAAGATCGCTCCAACAGTTTTATGAATGTGATAGTTTCATTGTGTTACTTTCGCCCAGCGCGTCTGATTAACACCCTGGCGTAATGTAAAGTTACCATAGCTCACGAAACCGTTCTCCAACCCGTGCTCCGATTTCCTTTATTGCTTTGTTTTGCTTCGGAGATTTTTATGTGCAATCAATTAGACAGCGGTTCTGTCTCTATAGTGTATGTAAGGCTATTTTCCCCGTCCAAAAGGGGAGTCGGGGAATCCGACTCTTTCCCTTGGTATTCCCCTTCCGTAAGTCAAGGAGGTACCTTCTTTGTCTGAATTCTACTAACCTGCGAGCAGGCTCACGTTTGGGAGCACACNGGTTCTGTCTCTATAGTGTATGTAAGGCTATTTTCCCCGTCCACAAGAGGAGTCGGGGAATCCGACTCTTTCCCTTGGTATTCCCCTTCCATAAGTCAAGGAGGTACCTTCTTTGTCTGAGTCCTACTAACCTGCGAGCAGGCTCACGTTTGGGAGCACACCCACCTTCTTCGGGCTTCCGCGCCAAGTTTCTCCCCGTCGGATGGCTTCGCTTTCCGACTCGTCCTTCTCGAACCTTCTCTAGCAGGGGTGACCCCCAAAGGTTAGCCTGCTCGTAGGCCACATCCATAGCCCTCTCCCCCTCTCCTTCGAACACTTATCAATCCTCAACGGGTCATTAATCATATTTTTCTTGAAAGAGTCAGTCCTCATTTTGAATGCATAAAACACGCAAGAAACGTAAGACTCACACGTCATGTTTCCTCCCAGTTTAAACAACAGACAGCCTCGCTGAGTTTGCATTGTACTTGTGTTTCTGCAGTAAATACCCAAGTTGATAATTCTTCCTCTCAGTAAGTGCGTATTTAATACGTTGCTGCCAACCTGTTCGGAAAAATATTAATGAAGATCTGTTTGTTAGTTCATGATATGAATTATACTACTTCTAGATAGAAATACTGGCGAGAGATTACGTGTGAAAATTTCACGACATTCTGGAAGAAGAACATAAAACTAATTTCTCTAGCCACATTGACTGAGTTATATCCCCAACTGGCCATTACAGTAAAAGCAATGAAAGTCACAGTTAACGTTTGTGACAGGCACGCCTCAGAACACTTAATTTTTCGATATTTTCACATAGGAGGGATTCTTTGAACGGGGCGACAGATTTTTCTCCACAAATGATACCGAATATACATGCATACAACTGCAATTTCTTACCTTTAAATTAAAGTAAAAGTCGCCTTTTGTCAAGGTGAGCAAGTTCATCATTGTTTGAAGGTAAATACTTGAGGAAAGTCGCGAATCACTACATCCAAAATACCACGAATGGTTAAGATCCAATTCACAGCTACTCCAGGTGCTACCTATAGAAATTGCTTTCTCGTCTCCAGCTTTTAACAGGTGTAAACTGGCATTAGAAAACTCGTTGACAAACAAGGTCTCCATGTCCTGCTCACAAGCTAGAAAAAACATAAAGGGGCTTTCAATCTCCAAAAATACCTTAGCATTCAGTGGCAGGTCCAGACCTTGAGCTAAGCAAGGGGGTGTTAAAAACAAATTACAAAAAACAACAACTCTAGACAGAATTTAAGGTTTTATAAGGAACATTCTATTTTTCATTAAACCCTTAAGCTTTCCCTCGTCGTCTCCGAGCTTAGACGCTAGCGCGAAACAATAAAAGTCACACGCGCGAGCGGCAAAGACCGAAGCGATCCGGCGGGGGTGGAGTCTGGAGAAGGGGCGTCAACAAAGTCACTTTCTAGTCTCGCAGCTTCGCCGCACGATTTCGCGTTTGTGCTTGTGCTCCAACGTGAGCCCGTTCGCAGGTTAGTTTAACATAAGCTCAGAAGTCTAGTCAAACATTGTGGCATTCTGCTAGGGTGGTGTTTTTTTTCTTTTTTTGGCAGAAACATGAAACACTTCTTTACCCGTACAGTTCATTATTTCAGAGGATATAATGGCCCCCACAGTAGCCAGGTACAATTTCATTTTTTTGAAGTCTTACGAGACTGCCAAAATTCCGTTAGTTCGGGTCAGAAATACGGGATTCGTAGAAACATTTGGACGAATTCCAAATTTTCTACCTTTTCCTCGAGGAGAACAAAAAGCGATTATCTCCAAACGCGCCGATTGTTTATCTTCAACAAGGATGTAGATAATGCATAATGAAGTGTGAGAATCTTGGCTGTGTTACAGGCGGAAGTAACAGTCTAGCCAATTAGAGCTTCAAAACTTGGCTTTTTCTCAGCTTAGTTTAAGCAGTGAAAAGGCGCAGCCGTTTCAACTGTCGGTTCTGGACAGTTAAGACCGAAGGTTTTTTAAGTTAGGTTCTGGAATGAGTCTAGAAAGTCTCCGGAAACAAAATGTTTTTTCAATCGTTTCTGTGACCAGGCCTCAACACGGCTAAGCTTTCTCCCTATAGGTACGGACTCCTTCCCTCGCGAGGTCGCGAGGCTTGGGGACGAAATTAAATTCGCATATACAGTACTTATCAAAGTTCTATCTTTTTATCAGTGTTTCAAGCAGGTACAGAGTCGCAAAATTTGTAAGCTGGTTGGATCTCATTATCGGCCGTTAAACGTATATTGACAGAGCGATGTCTCTGGGTAATGCGCGCAGATAAGATGAAAATTAAATAGATAAGGTAATCTTTAGTTAATCACAGTAAAATTTGTCAGCTTTAAATTAAAAAAAAAACAATTTATAAATGACTAATCTGAACCTAATCTGCATGTGTAGATGATAACTTTCAACTTCGGAGCTTAGAATGTTTTTTTTTCTTCACCTTGTGAACTTTATTCGTATCAAGATTAAGTCCCTCTAAATGAAGTTCAACATTTGAAAAGAAAAAATTTTCCGCAAATTAAAATTTCAGTTTGTGCGTGAGAGCAATGGTGTGCTATGTTTGTGTTGTCTAACCTTTCTGAAGGTCCGGAAGATAATCATTTCGGTAAGCCGTCGGAATGCTCTTGCGGTTTCATGGGCGAGTTGCAAAAGAAATAAGGCGGAAAGCCCTCAAAAAACAAATTGTTAAGCGTCTAAACAACAATGGTAAAGTCCCTTCGTCAGAAATAGATTTAAATGATGACTTCTCGGCTCGGTTTCTTTGAGGTTACTAGACACAAAAATCAAACTGGCACAACATTCGCGTTTAAAGGGCGACCATAATTTCATCTATTTCGATTTTCAATCAACACAAAAGAAAAAAAAAAAA